CATACAAGACCAGTTTTAATTGGATTGAATGTAAGGCGTTATCTGCTAGCAATATTACCATAATTATACACATTGCGTTTTTTATTTTTAATTATACGATACTTAAGATGGTCCTATGCAGAACGAACCGTTTGTCACTTTTTATTTCGTGTCCTTTGTAACACTTCCACCATTTAGTTACTCCACTTAATGGCACAAATACTTTGAAGCATTCTTTGAATGGTCTATTAGTAAAATTCTTTCTTCTAATTGATCAATCAAATGCTTCAAAGCGCTGGTCCGCACCTTTAATGTTCCTTTTTGTATTACTCTACTTCAGTATGACTCTTAATGTTTATTATATTCAATTAGTATTAAAATCTAACTTGCTTGTCCTTTATTAGTTCTATTGTTTGAATTTCAATCTATTAAGCCTTTTTTTTATTTCTATATTAAGTTAATTTTTATAAATATGATAAAATCTCTTCAAGAGACACAAAGCTTCTCAAGTCGTGATAAAAATTAAGGTTGACGATTATCTATTTATCTAAATATTCGAATCTCAATCAGCGAAATATTATAATTTAGAGTTGATTTTGTCCGCATCTATAGACTGAAAAGCCTCACAAAAAGCATCTTACGCGATATAAATTAATTAATTGCTGAATTAATGAATCTTTTCGGAGACTTGATTGTTCTCGTCATCTTTTAGATAAACTCCGCTCTTTATGCATCCACACCAAACTCCATCGTCATTTTAGACGAGTTTGGAAACGGAACATCCGAAGTGAGTGGCTTGTCACTGCTCGCGGCTGTATTGAACAATTTCGTCGAGCGAGCGGCCGACTGTCCGCACATTTTCGTGGCCACACACATGCATCGGGTGATGAACATGTTACCGCAAAGCCCGATAATCGAACAACAAGTGAGATATAAGGATGGATAATTTTCAGTAACACTTTTTCGCGTCGTCGAAACGATTTCCTTGAATTGCCATTATTCTTTAATTTTTTATCTATTTCATTATTGACTGTATATTTACAGACTTTTGAGTTTGTTACAAACGAGGATGGCTCTGTGGCGTACCTTTATAGTTTAACTCGTGGACACGTAACACGCAGCTTCGCACATGCTGCTGCACGAAGTGCGGGTTTGGACGAAAAGATAATTAAACGAGCATTGGAGGTGATTATATTATATATACATTGGTAAAAGAGTCTGCTTGCATAAATTAGAATTCTGGATGAAAATGGACAAATCAAAATTTTCTAGTTGAATTTATTATCATTCTAGTATTATAGTAATTCTAGTATATTACCTCTTTGACATAATCAGAATTCTGATTGATATCAGAATCTTCGATTATGGTTCGTCCATTTTCAATCAGAAACTTCTCTCAATGTAAATTTTGTCTCACGTATATTAAAAACTTCTGTTCGTAAAAATTATGTGAATAAATTTGAAATTAAACAATTATTAGTCTAATTGTATTGTAAGAATTCTAAAAATACGAGGACTTTTGCAGGTATATGAAAAATTTAAGGCCGGAGAATTACCTTCACGACTACCGGAAGCTAACGACCAAAATATGTGAGAATATTACAATCTTGATAAAATTGGCCACATTTACAATACAAAGATCAAATTCGACGCGATTAAAAATAATTTTGTGATTTATGTTATTGCAGGGCGGTGGACATCATCGAACGATTACTAAAGTCAGACAATTTCAATCTGGAAGAATTAAAAACGTTAGTTCGTCAAGCCACAGAATCGCCAGCTGTAAAGGTAAACCACACGAAAAATTGAAATCGGAAAAAAGGGAAAATATTTCGTAAAATTTGTCGAGTCGAGTCACAGAGTCACAATAAGTTGCTGAAAATATAAGAGATATTGAAGTAGAAGAATAAACAAAATATTTTCTAGTAAGTATTTTTTAATGTATTATATTAATAATTAATTAACAAAATATCAGTATTCATATTATATACATTTTCTATACATATGGTTTAATTTTCTATGGTTTAATATATCAAAACATTAATTATCAATATTTTAATTGTTAAAAGTATCTAATTAAAGTGACTTCAGTATAACTCTGGTCAATTTAATCAGTGATTAATTTAATCAGCAGAATTAAAGTAAAAATTTCAAATATAATATACAATATTTTGTACTCGATAAACGTTTTTATTTTAAATGACAAAAAAAATTAATAATTCTATCCTTACTAACAGATAATACAACGATGACTTGATAAGCTAATTATCGATTCAAATAACGGATTTTAGTCGAAATCTCCTTTTAGTTTTATTTTAATGAAAGTTCTTAGAATTCTTCGTATAATTTTTCAGCATATTTATATATACATTATAAATTTCAGAATCTTTTCATAATTTTATAATTTTTTAGAAAATTTCTTAGATTTTTTATATTTTTTTTAAATCAAAACATTTTTCAGAAATGCTGAGAGTCTTCATTTTTTTTACAATTCTGTATAGTATATGGATAATTATTACTTGCGTATAGCAGATATGCATTTTTCTATATATATTTTGGAATAGATATTCCATTATTTCCAAAGAAAAAATTAAGTCTGAGTAAGTTCAAGTATTTTTCATAATTTTAAACATGAAAAATTGTTAAAAATATTTCGATATAGTATAAGAATCTTTGTTCACCAGAGGATTATCAAGTATTTTCAATTCGATCAATGTATTCGGCACAAAGCGAAAAGTACATATACATTAGCGAATTGAATTACATTATTGAATATCACGTCGAGCTAAATAAAACATAAAATACATAAGGCTCAAAAATATTTCAATTTCGTTTCTCAATAATAAAAGGAAATAATATAATAGCATTTTCCACACCGCATAGAAAACTATAGTAATATTTGGACTGAATGCAATTGAATGCAAATCAATTCACACGTTTTTTCAGCGTTATAATAAATAATGTAATTCATTAATTATATATTCTTTGTCACAATACCTCATAACTTAAAAAAGATTCGAAAATATGCAAATCGATTTGCAACCTCAGACTTCTTTAGTAATAAGTCTGTGTTTGCAACCAATTCCTCTATTAGTGTTTATTCTTCATTTATAGTTTTAGATTTTAGAGAAGAAAAAAATCCGCGATCGGTACAGGAGAGCAAAATACAATTTTATCGGATGTAGATTGCGTAACATTTTTCCCGTTTGCACAACAGATGTCGGAACCGGTTATTTTCGCGCCGATCGGTCCGGCGACCTCGCGCCGGCAGATGTCGCGGCGATCGGCGCGCGCCGGTCGGGAGCTGGCGCTCGTAGTCTTTCCGTTGTCAATAACGGACACTGGCGGTGTATCCCGGTACGAAAGCGAACCGAACGGCCGTCCCAACGGACGCGCGAGATACCTAAAAACGTCCGGAGCCGCGGGTGCAATTCGACTGGTACGCGACGCGCGGATCGTGAACGTGTGTGGTGTGCGTGTGCGAATACGCGCGCTCGTGTGCTCGCTCGCGCTGCTGGCTTCGTCGACGACGACGACGACGGCGAGAACGAGGACAACGGCGACGCGGGGCGCGAAACATTCGCGGCCTGGAGACGAACGAGAACCGCTCGGCGGTCAGATACGCACGGGCGTGCCTTGAAGCCGAGAGAAGAGAAACCGTGCACGGGAGCGAGAATTCCCGACGAGAGACGGCGGAAAAGGAGACAAAGGAAAGAGGAGATCGCGTCGTCGTCGTCGTGGACTTGGAAAGAAGAAGAAGGAAGGGGATCGGGACCTGGCAGGCCCGACCGGTCGCCGCGCGAGTTTGAATGCGAACGCTTCCGTAACTGTCAACCGTCGCGGTCGCGCGAGTCGATCGCCGTCTCTCGCTCCTTCTTTCATTTCTCTCTCTCTCTCTCTCTCTCTCTTTCTCTCTCTTCTTCGATTTCTCTACACTTCTTCCCTCACATACACACGCGTTTCGAACCGATTAATCCGGCCGCGTGCAGAGCCCCGTTTAAGCCGTGATAATATAACGAAGCCGGGTCGCGTTTTATGGTGCCGAACGAGGTGCGAGGGACCGATTAAATGACCATGGATCACGGTACGTGCAAGATCGACGTCGGCTGCAGCATAAATATCCAGAGGACCGACGGTGAGAATAGTAGAATATGAGTCAGATTATTATTGTACCCGCGAGCGCGCGAGTCGTTCCTAACCGATCCGTTTTGCTGTGTGTTCCCGCTCCCTCTTCTCCTTCGCTTCTCCTCGCGCCGATTCCTTTATTCCTCCGCGAATTTCCGTCTTCCCACTCGCCTTTCCTCGGCCTCTCTCCTTATCCTCTCTCCCTCCAGCAGCGCTTCTTTCCTCATCAGAGTCGTTTACTTCTCGTGCGATGCTTCCTCTGAGTTCTCCATCTCTTGTATCTACCAATGTAGTTTAATTTGATCAAACTAACTTTTCATCTTTTTCTAGTTCTAAGAATTACAAAAAGATGAGAAGTAAATTGAATCGAGATTAATCTACATTGGTAGAAACGAGCATCTCTGGTTCTCTCGTTCTTCTTGCAAAGGATTGTCTCTCATGTCCATTTCTGTTAGGGTTACCATAGACCTATTTTTCTATAGCTCAGGACTCTGAACTTCTTGCACGATTTATTTGTCGTCTCTTTCTTTCCAATGTGAAGGGAAAAAGAGGAAAGATGAATCGCGTAAGAAATTCTGGAGTATAGGAAGAGAGCAGATCTCATGTCACAAAGGAGGAATGTCTATGTACATTTTTTAATTAAAGACTAAACAGATTATTTAACTTTTAACATTATACAAAAAGGATGCAAGTGCATAAATATATCATATCTGAATCACAACAAAAGAATATATACGTATACTTTTTAACCTTTAAGTAGATAGATGGCTACAGCACTTTACGCATCGTTATCTTAAGAACCTTGTTCTGGGAAAGGAAAATGAAAAGAATTCACAGAAGTTTTAAAGTTCATTATTTTTACATTTCTCCGTCTCATGAAGAATATAAATAATGTAAAGAATGTAAATAATACATTTAACTTTATAATATAATGCTATTAAAAAGTATAATTATAAAAATAAAATTTGTTCTGAGCACTTCACTTCCTCATTTAAAGGTTAAACAAAGATGATATTTCTGGGATGGGGGAAGGAGTATAATTTTTTTATGCGTCAAATGGAGGTGTTTAATAAAATAAAATTTTTAGAAGACAGTTTTTACTGGCAATTCTTATTAGTGTAATTTTATAAATACACAATTGCAACTAATAACCAGAAGAGTTTTACAAAAGTTTTAAAAAAGTATACGTACTTATTCTTAAAACAGTATAGCTGATTCTAATTTCTACCAAGGTAGATTAATGTTAATCTTGGTTTAACTTAACTACTTTTGGATATTTTTTTAGTTCTACACTGAGGAAAAAATTATTCATTTGACTAAATTGTTTATTTAACTAAATTAATTTAATCACTTTGTCTTTATTTTTTTCATTTGAAAATGTATGCATTTAAGTATAATATGTATATTTGACTTAAATACGTACATTTTTCATCGAAAGAAATAAAGACGAACTAAATTCACTTATTTAGTCAAAAAGAACAATTTTTTTCCTCAGTGTAAGAATTAGAAAAAGGAGTAAATTAATCTTTGCAGAAAAAAAGCACTAATATAGTGCTGAAACAGTTATATATTTTGAATCAAGAAATATAATAAAATAATGAATTATAAAAGCCTTACTCAAGGAGAAAAGCTGTAAGATTTAAAAAAATGTACCTTCGTCCTCCAAAGGTTAAGTTTATAAATACACGTTACATACAGTTAATCTAAGTAATCTTAGTAAAAATGATCTGTTGAGTTACTTTCCTTTCCACTCATTTTCTTCTTGGTTTTCTCTCTTTTTTTTCTTTGTTTTTTTTTTATATTTTAGTATTGTTTTCTTCTTTATTTAATTCTGTCACTTCTCCTTATTTCCAATCTCTTCATTATCTCTTATCCGTTCCTTTTCTCTTTTTCTCTTCTCGA